TGCAGGCTCTATGTACAGACGTCATGTCACGGCACCCTTTATTTATTCATTTATATGCATATTGAGATGGTTTTCTTATTACTTAATGTATAATAATAATAAAAACCAACTAATACTGTTATCAATATGCATTGTAACGCGCTTTAAAGTAATTTTACAAATTATATAGGTCGCTATATAAATGTTGTATATGGTATTAGACCAAGGGAAGTGTACCAAGACCAGGGTCGCTTTCGTTTATCATCGCGATCCAAACGGTTGGACCAGAGTTGTTTCTTTATGAAAGAAGGTTGGACCTTGTAATAATATACTGCTTTTAGACCAGCCTTAACAAAGCATTGCCAGGCCTGTATATACCAAAAATGTTACATTTAAAAACAGACGAATCGGTTGTTTTGCATAAACGAACAGGCCCCAGAGATCCGAGATATCTTTGCGCCCACCGTAGTAAGATCGTCATTGGTTCTATGTAAGTTTGATCTTTTCTCTTCGTATCGATTGAGTCGCGCCAGTACAGTGAATGCACCGTGTAGTAACTTTGATCAAAACGTCATACGACTGTGTATGGTGTTGTCCTTCCAAAGTGTACGTGCTTGTCGTTAGACCTATTTATGATTACATGCACAGCAATTGTTGTTTAACCATATGCATAGACCAGGAGATTTCCGACTTGTGCATGGGAGACATATTTTTTGGGCTGTCATTTTTACCGAAAGTCGATCTAAATCACTAAAACATGTAAAATTACTCTGAACACCTTAGTTTAGGTCCAAATATAGCTGTAACAAATTATCAGGTCCCTGTGTCCTCAACCTGATTAAAATAGTCTGTTATGTGCCGCGGTCAGGGTCACGTTCAAATGACCTTTAGATGAACCAATCAGAGGCGCGCTGGCAAAAGTTTGCCAGCGAATCGGAATATCATGGTTGATTGATAATATATAGCGAGGGGTATCGAACAGATTAGTTTTCCAAACCTACGACGCCAAGGAAAACGTAACCATTTGGTAATAATTGCGTAGGCAACACCGCCATACAGTCTTTCTTCTCTAATAAAGCTTCGAATATCTTTTTCTGTTCGGGTTTCAGACGATCAATTAAGGATTAACTTGAATATATTTTTCATGTTATGGAGCTATAACACAAAACAAGAGGCCCAGAGGGTCTGTATCGCTCACCTGAATGTGTTTAAAATAATTGGTATGAAGTAAAGATATAACACTCAATGGTAGGTGCTGTAATTATAAGTACATATGAAATTTCAGAAAGATCCATCCAATACCTGAGAAATAGCAAGAACAAACTTCAAACAGAGTCCCACCCCTATGATTCTAGGGGGGGGGGGGGGGGCAAACCCACTGTTTTTACAAAAAATCCCCTTGGCCCAAGGATGCTCCAGACTAAATAAGGATAAAATCCCTTAATCCCTAGGGTAGATTAGAGGATTTTAAAGATTTTACCTCTATTTTCCTATTGGGCCCCGCCCTTCTGCCCCCTGGGACACCACAACCACTGCTTATACAAAATTGAGTCCCCTTGGCCCAAGGATGCTCCAGACTAAATTAGGATAAAATCCCTTAATCCCTATGGTAGATTAGAGGATTTTAAAGGTTTTACCTATAATTCCCCTATTGGGCCCCGCCTCTCTGCTTCCAGGGGGGTTAGACACACCGTTTATACAAAATTGGTTCCCCTTGACCCAAGGATGCTTCATAACAAATTAGGACAAAATCCTGTCCTACGTACAGAAGAAGAAGGTTTTTGAAGAATTTGCTGTTTTGCCTAATAGGCCCTGCCAATCTGCCCCCAGGGGGGCCACACTCACTGTTTAGACAAAACTGAGTCCTTTTTGCCCAAGATCCTCCAGATCAAATTGGGAAGCAATCCCTTCATCCCTATGGTAGAAGAAGGATTTTAAAGATTTACCTCTATTTCCCATATTGGGCCCCGTCCTTCTGCCCCCTTGGAGACCACACCCACTGCTTATACAAAATTGAGTCCCCTTGGCCATAGGATCCTCCAGACCAAATTAGGATAAAATCCCGAGGCCCGCCCCTCAGGTCCCAGGGGGCGCCACACCCACCGTTTATACAAAATTGGTTCCCCTTTACCCAAGGATGACCCACACCAAATATGGACCAAATATTTTCATTCTTAAAGAAGAGGAAGGATTTTAAAGAATAATTTGCTATGTTTCCCCTATTTGGCCTCTTCCCTCAGGCCCCTGGGGGGCCAGACCCACAGTTTTTACAAAATTGGTTCATCTTCCCCCAAGGATGCTTCTGACCAAATATGGAACAAATCCTTTCATTCCTACAGAAGGAGAAAGATTTTAAAGAATTTGATATATTTCCCCTATTGGGCCCGCCCCTCAGCCCCCAGGGGGGCCAGACCCACGATTTATACAAAGTTTGTTACACTTCCCCCAAGGATGCTTCTGACCAAATATGGAACAAATCCTTTCATTCCTACAGAAAAAGAAGGATTTTAACGAATTTGCTATATATTTTCCCTATTGGGCCCCGCCCCTCAGCCCCCAGGGGGGTCACACCCACCATTTGTTCCCCTTCCCCAAAAGATGCTTCTGACCAAATTTGGTCAAAATCTACTGTGCCGTTCAGGACAGGTAGCGTTTTAAAGCAAAAGTTGACGGACGGACGACGGACGCTGCGCCATGGCATAAGCTCACTTGCCCTTCGGGCAGGTGAGCTAAAAACGGAGTGTACTCTTAATAAACCGCGAAGCGGTTTATGATGAGAGTACACTCCGTTTTTTTGTGTTATAGCTCCATAACATGAACAATATATTCAAGTTAATCCTTATAATTTAATCTACTATACACAATCCCTGTGGAAATCCACTTTTATTGATGGACTATTTTCTTTTAGAAATTATTGCGCTGCTGTATCAGCCAATCAAAAGCGACGTTACAAACGGTGACGTCATTTTTTTACGTTATGGGCCGATAACATAAATTTTTAAGCCAATGAAAATACTTGTTACAAGCAAAATTAAATTATTCTCAAATAACTTCAGAACTTTCACATCATTCTCATCAATGTCCGCCATATTTGTTACAACTCCGAGCGCCCTTTTGAAAGAGGGTCTCTGATTGGTCAAAATTTAATGAGTATTTATAAATATAAAGGTCACCTGAACGTGACCCTGACCGCGGCACACTCAGATGTTCAGGCGTAGTACGAAGATAACAAAGCCATTTAACCACGGACTTAGATAACATCTAATTCAGTGATTTAACATATGATTTTAATCAGATTGCTGTGTCCTCGATATCATCTGTAACAAAATGGGCTGTAATTAGGTACTTAATGATAAAGAATGGAACCATCTTATAACATGCAAGGTAGTGGGTTCTGTATCAATAGAGAGCAGTGCTTTGGTCAAAAGGTACATTGCATTGAATGACGGGAGACCGTTGCATTGTAGATAGTGCTATAGGGCTATCCATCCAGTGGCGACCAGGTCCGTTATGGATGACATAGAGATAGGAACGAAAGTGTGAACTCCCCAAACCAGACAGGGGTAACTGTCATTGCCATATGGTACATCTAAGTATTGTAGTTTTCGTACGGGGAAAGTTCGATTAGAAGTTAGATTAAATTGACGCACGTGCCTCATTACTTATGTACAGGTGGTACCCACTCATGAATAGTTCATGTTTTATAGAATGTTAAAAGTACTTATGAAGAAATTAATAGGGAGCCCAGAGTAAGGAGTTGGGAGTCTAAGAGTTGAGAGATGGGGATTCAAGGTTCGGGAATGTGAGCCTCTGGAGAAAGAGGCCCTGGAAGGCCTCGGCCGGAGGGGGCAGGGATGGCCCGGGTACAGCACTTGGTGTGCTTTAGAACTATGTGCTTGATCTTGTAATCTCTATATAATCTGTCGTGTTCGAGAAATATGTTGAAAAGGACATTCAGTAGATTTACTGTCGCGGCCACAATGCCAAGTAAATAAAAGTCTGAAGTCCACATGTGTTGTTAACGTGCTATGTCACACATGCCCTAATCACATGTTGAAATCTCGCGAAAATTAGTGTTTTAGATGCAAGATAATAATTAGTGGTTTTGATGCGAAATGGATATGTGAGGTATATTTTTCTTCTGTTTTGACTGACATCTTTGTTTTCCCCCCGTTTTCTTTTCTTCTTCAGCGTAGTTCTTCAGGATGATAACTTCCACTTGATTAATGGGAAACATGTCAGCTTCGGAATTAAAGGGTCATTTATTTTATTATTATTAGATACTTTATCTAGTCAAATCAAGTTATGTTTTCAAGTGGATTTTCGGAACCGTTCTGCAAATAGAAATCCTGCGACCCATTTACCAATGTTAAAACCCTAAAATGTGAAAAAAGTGAGTGACACAACATAAATACACTACCAAACACATAAGCTTTGAAGGAGGAACATAACACTGTGGTTGCACATACACTTGATTGACGATTTTAACATTTTGAAATAGATACAATGTGCCAAACAATTGAATTCACTATACCTTAGTTGTTTTGTCCTTCTAGGTCTCATTGGTGATCCTTAGGTGCCAAAAAGTTGTAAATCTAAATTGTCTGAATACTGTACCAATAGAGGGCCAGGTGTGGAAAACCCTTTTCTATATGAATTTTAAATTAAGAGGAGTACTGATTACTTTCAAACCAATTTATTTGTAAAGTGTGTATATTATGAACCGTGCCACTAGTCAAAAGAGATCACTGTGACCATCAAGGTTATAACAAACCTGAGCACTACAGTTCTGCATCCCCCTGATTTATTACCTTGGATATCAGGCCAGGAAGTCTTTTTATACCAGGGTTTGAGAAAATAACACTTTCTTTGCATACTGATACCACAACTACTTACCAGTATGTACTTCCTAAACATCAGAAAGGCCCTGAATCCCTGTGGACAGTACAATTAAGAGAAATTGGTTGGTATTGACAGAACGTCACTGTGAACGACTTTGGGCAGGAAAATCAACAGATACATTTTTTTTCTCTCAGCATTTTGAAATAATTTTATTCTGGACTAAAAGCACTTAGTATTACATAATAATACACTGTTCAGAAGTAGTACATTTTGTATGTCTGATCATGCTGAAATGTTTTTATCACATTTGTGTCATAGAAGCCGGACACCCTGTTTTATCTCCACCATCTGCTGTAAGGACCAGGTGGAGGTCGGAACAATACCCTCATCCTGATGGCAAGTCTCTTTGAACCTGAAAATAGAATATTTCATTACTGTTTGACACAAGTTGATACCTTTGAAAAGGATGATGTAAACAAACAATAATGCATACTGATTGATAAATTCAAGTTCTGAGACCATGCATCAGGATCAACTATCAATAATTAAAACATATATTCCTATGTTTAACACAATCATTTAATCTGGCCTTGTAAATGGAGTCACCAGTGTTTCCACCCGGAATGGCTTCATGTTGAAAAGAGAGTATTATGAGCATAATTTGCAATGAAGACCTGCCCCTAAAAATTACTGTGTGGAAAATATCAATCAATTGTAGAAGATTATGCTAACTGATTATGTGCAGACTTTCATCAACTTCAAACTCAGCTGAGTTTTTTTGTAAATTGTAGACATTTACCAACTTTATTTAAAATTAAAATGTGGACATGGATAGATACTCTCCATACCATAATACATCCCATCAAAAATTTTGAAGGGTTTATAAATTACACATGATATTTGTGAACTGATTTGATCAACCCCCTTTGGTGCCTAAGAAACCTACTTTCAATCCAGATTCTGCATTAAACATTAGTGTGTAATAAAATAAACAAGAGGCCCAGAGGGCCTGTATCGCTCACCTGTTTCTTTTGTTACATGCATTGACATATAGGTAACTTAAGACCAAATTTGGTAACTAGAACACAAGACATTTTAACATCTCTTAAACGGTTCTGAAGATATTGTTCTTTGAAACTTAAAATTTTGATTTTAAAGCTTTTAACCTATATTGACCTTTGAATCCCGATTTGCACTTAAAGTTGACCTTTGACCTCATTACTGTAGTGAATAAAACAATTCACACAGCTGGTCTACATAACATACCTAAGTATCATGACTAGAAATTTTTAGCACTACATCCCAGGTACCTACTGGCCAAATATCATGACCCTGGGCCTTATGGAACTTGAGAAGAAGCTTATTAAAGCTTTTAACCAAAGTTGACATTTGACCCCCGACTAGCACTTAAAGTTGACCTTTGACTTCATTACTGTAATTGAAAAAAATATTCGCACTGCTGGTCTACATAACATACCCAAGTATCATGACTCTAGTTCAAATGGTTCTTAGGAAACTGTTGTTTGAAATTTTTAACATATATGACCGCTGTGACCTTGAAAGTAGGTCAAGGTCATTTTAATGAGGAAGCTTTATAGCACTCCATCCCAGGTACCTACTGACCAAATATCATGACCCTAGGTCCTACAATTCTTCAGAAGAAGTCGTTCAAGAAAAAGTTAACGGCCGGACGCCGCAGTACGGCATAAGCTCGCATGAACCTTCGGGCCAGGTGAGCTTAAAACTGATCAATAAATTAAGTAATAGAAAATCTAAAACTCCACAAGCCTTACAGACCCCTGTCCTTTCAGATTCTTAACAAAAGTTTTAAATATCAGTAAATATCACATAATACAATATGACTGAACCCACAAACAATGTATCTGTATTCTTTAGGACGTCAATTCAAAGCTGTACTCACCATATCATTCCATCATCGATATCTTCTTCACAAGTTGAATATTCAAAGTCGCAGCAACTTTCCTCCATTTTGTCCACAATGTTCATCTCAATCTTTTCAATGTTTGTTGATAAGTCCAGGGTCAAGTAGTCCAAAGTTTGTCCCGGAAGTATTCCAATGGGTACCTGTGACCAATCCACATCATCTGCAAGAGAACCATAGCGAATCAGAGCTTACAAGTAACAAGTACATGTCACCGTGTCAACTGGACAAACCACCACACAACAAAGATAAACAAGTACCTGTTACCTTGTCAACTGGAAAAACCATCATACAACAAAGATAAACAGGTACCTGTTACCTTGTCAACTGGAAAAACCACCACACAACAAAGATAAACAGGTACCTGCTACCTTGTCAACTGGACAAACAATCATACAACAAAGATAAACAAGTACCTGTTACCTTGTCAGCTCGACAAACCACCACACAACAAAGATAAACAGGTACCGGTTACCTTGTCAACTGGACAAATCACCACACAACAAAGATAAACAAGTACCTGTTTCCTTGTCAACTGGAAAAACCATCATACAACAAAGATAAAAAGGTACCTGTTACCTTGTCAACTGGAAAACCCACCCCACAACAAAGATAAACAGGTACCTGCTACCTTGTCAACTGGAAAAACCACCACACAACAAAGATAAGCAGGTACCTGCTACCTTGTCAACTGGACAAACCACCATACAACAAAGATAAACATGTACCTGTTACCTTGTCAACTTGACAAACCACATCACAACGAAGATAAACAAGTACCTGTTACCTTGTCAGCTCGACAAACCACCACACAAAGATAAACAGGTACCTGCTACCTTATCAACTGGACAAACCAACATACAACAAAGATAAACAAATACCTGTTACTTTGTCAACTGGACAAACCACCTGACAAACCCCCATACAACAAAGATAAATAAGTACCTGTTACCTTGTAAACTTGACAAACCACATCACAACGAAGATAAACAAGTACCTGTTACTTTGTCAACTTGACAAACCACACCACAACGAAGATAAACAAGAACCTGTTACCTTGTCAACTGGACAAATCACCACACAACAAAGATAAACAAGAACCTGTTACCTTGTCAACTAGACAAACCACCATACAACAAAGATAAACATGTACCTGTTACCTTGTCAACTTGACAAACCACCACACAACAAAGATAAACAAGTACCTGTTACCTTGTCAGCTCGACAAACCACCACACAACAAAGATAAACAGGTACCTGTTACCTTGTCAACTGGACAAATCACCACACAACAAAGATAAACAAGTACCTGTTACCTTGTCAACTTGACAAACCACCATACAACAAAGATAAACATGTACCTGTTACCTTGTCAACTTGACAAACCACCACACAACAAAGATAAACAAGTAGCTGTTACCTTGTCAGCTCGACAAACCACCACACAACAAAGATAAACAAGTACCTGTTACTTTGTCAACTGGACAAACCACCACACAAAGATAAACAGGTACCTGTTACCTTGTCAACTGGACAAACCACCACACAACAAAGATAAACAAGTACCTGTTACCTTGTCAGCTCGACAAACCACCACACAACAAAGATAAACAAGTACCTGTTATTTTGTCAACTGGACAAACCACCACACAAAGATAAACAGGTACCTGTTACCTTGTCAACTTGACAAACCACCATACAACAAAGATAAACATGTACCTGTTACCTTGTCAACTTGACAAACCACAACACAACAAAGATAAACAGGTACCTGTTACCTTGTCAACTAGACAAACCATCAGACAACAAAGATAAACAAGTACCAGTTAACTTGTCATCTTGACAAACCACCACACAACAAAGATAAACAGGTACCTGTTACCTTGTCAACTGGACAAACCATCAGACAACAAAGATAAACAAGTACCAGTTAACTTGTCAACTGGACAAACCACCACACAACAAAGATAAACAAGTACCTGTTACCTTGTCAACTTGACAAAGCACCACAAAACAAAGATAAACAGGTACCTGTTACCTTAATGTTAACACCCACTCCTCACATACCTGTATATTGATATTTTTTATACTTTAGGTAAACGTTTAATTGATAGCTTTGTCATTTAGTTGAAATACTTTTTTTAGATTAGAAGCAGAGGACAGAAAAATCGTATAGACATTGACATTTAATCAAGTCTGATTTCAATTATATAATGCAAAGCAAAAGTACTGCATACATAGACATCAATAGAGAAACAGAGTATTCTGATCAGCACAAATACCTTCACATATCTGCCACATAACTTTTACAGGAAAGTCATCTTCTAAAGTTTCTAACTTCCTTTTCCTGGATTTTACATCTGAAAATATACGAAACATAATGAGAAGTATGTGCAGGAAAACCTGTTTAAAATGACGCACATTGATTGCCCATCTCATTTAAGGTCATTTGATGTTCACTTTTTTACATATACTGTTTTATCATCTCAATTGATATATTGACAAATAAGCATATAAGGTCAACATGCCTTAGAACGAATTGTCCAAAATGTTAAATAAGAGAGGGTTATGGACAGCCTAAGAGATGGGAGATGGTTATGACCAACCAGAGAGAAGGGTGAGTGTTATGGTCAGCTTAAGAGAAGGGAGAGGTTATGGTTAGCTCAATAGAAGAAGGGAGAGAGTATTGGTTAGCTAAAGAGAAGTGAAAGAGTTATGGTTAGCTCAATAGAAGGGAGAGGTGCAATGGTTAGCTCAAGAAAAGGGAGAGGTGTTATGGTTAGCCCAAGAGAAGGAAGAGGGTTATGGTTAGCTCAAGAGAAGGGAGAGGGTTATGGTTAGCTCAATAGAAGGGAGAGGTGCTATGGTTAGCTCAAGAGAAGGGTGATAGGCTATGGTTAGCTAAAGAGGAGGGGGAGGATTATGGTTAGCCCAAGAGAAGGAAGAGGGTTATGGTTAGCTCAAGAGAAGGGAGAGGTTATGGTTAGCTCAAGAGAAGGGAGAGAGGCTATGGTTAGCTCAAGAGAATGGAGAGGTAATGGTTAGCTCAAGAGAAGGGAGAGGGTTATGGTTAGCTCAAGAGAAGGGAGAGAGGCTATGGTTAGCTTAAGAGAAGTGAAAGAGTTATGGTTAGCTCAATAGAAGGGAGAGGTGCAATGGTTAGCTCAAGTGAAGGAAGAGGTGTTATGGTAAGCCCAAGAGAAGGAAGAGGGTTAAGGTTAGCTCAAGAGAAGGAAGAGAGGCTATGGTTAGCTTAAGAAAGGGAGAGGTTATGGTTAGCTCAAGAGAAGGGAGAGGTTATGGTTAGCTCAAGAGGAGGGGGAGGATTATGGTTAGCCCAAGAGAAGGGAGAG